ACTGAATGACCCATCGCTTATCAGGCTCCAATGCCACAAACCCCTCGTTGCCTCGCGCGCGCTGTATAATACTCTCTTCTTCCTGTTGGTTCTTATCAAACAATAGTTTGGTAACGGTTTCAGATGCCGCCGTGTTTGTGAATCCAGATACAGACACACTTTCGTGTGGTGTCGACGCATCAATGAATGAAGAAGTTTCTCCTACATCTAAAGTGGCACTTCCATCGGGTGCGATGGCAACCACTGGATTCCACAAAAGTAACCGATCCATGTCCTGTACAAGCTCGCGCACACGCTTGGCCGGGAGATCTGTTGGTAGCCGAACATCCAGTCGAAGTGGCCACAGAAACTTGTGAAATACCTCAGTTGTGTTGCCAACTGTACCGCCTGCAGGAATGAATGTCTTGGTATTGTCACGTGTAGCCAGTACAATGAAACCCAGTGGTGCATCACAAATTTTTCCTTTTCTTGAGCCGTGCAAATAAATTCTTGAGTCGAGATGCAACATATTGGTCAGAAACATGTAGTGTGCACCCATGACATTGCGTAACTGTGAAACATAATAATATCATATCAAATAATAATCGCACATGTTAGTACATAAACTCTTATGAATTAATACCCTTCCAAAAACATTTATACTCTGTACCAATGGTAATGTAGCCAATGCAATGGATACATAAAACCCTACCGAGAACAGCAACTTGAGCTCCCTTGATCCTTCAATCCAAGGAGTAATGTAATACGTGTATACAATAAGCACCAGTAGCAGCATTTTGGCCAATGTGCTACCTTCGTACAACAATGTCATCCGACCGGATTTCTCGTCGTTTTTATACCCTACCACACCATTCCGAACAATAACTTCTCGCAGTACATTTCCTCCAGCGTCCAACCAGATAAGAAAGCAAACCCCAAAACCCCATGCTGGCCAATCATCGAGTAAGAGGGACAGACGAGACACAAGAATCGTGATCCATAACAGTCCGACTCGACACATAAGTGATGTCTGCCACATCATCATTTGTCGAGCTTCGTTTGGCCAGCTACAGAGGTTATCATTAATTCTTAGAATGTATGCAATTACACAGGGTATAAGATTATACGATACATACATCCATTTATTGGGGCAAGCTTTACGGACGATCCAGAAGAGACAGCGAGCAATGGAATTGGCCAATACAGTCGATAGAAAGAAGAGAATGACAGAGACATAGGTGTTGATGCTACCACTTTTAGTCTCACGCCACCAGTGATCCCACGCTTCGTGTGTCGACTGCGAGGCCATTAAGGTGAATATTTTGATACAAAGTGATATTCCTAACGTCTTATTGGTCAAAAATAGTATTCACAGTGTCTTATTGGTTAAAAAACCAGATATACAACGTCTTATTGATCAAAATTCAAAAGCGGGTCTACTGCATCTCTCGCCTCGTCTATGGTCAGAGCCCCTTGTCCGGTCGTAATTGCCTCTTTTTCCTTGTCCAACTTGCGTACGTAAGCACGACGATCACGTTCACGCATTCCTTCCAATGAGCTTTCAAATTCTCGCTCCTTCTTCTCATGTTCTGCTAGCAATTCTTGTTCACTAAAAGTGCAACAAGAAGCACAATGACGCAATAGTTAATCGACTGCAGCATGAGCAATAGCAGCTTCTTATTGTATTTAGACGCACCTTGCAACGATCTCCTTGGTCAAACAGCATTTAGCACAGATATCTCGTTCCTACAATCAACAAATCAATCAACAAATTGTCAGCTACCTTTGTATTTCATTGCAAAGCTACAATTTACATTGTCAGTAGTGTATAAAGATGAACCTTGGCACATGAATCACAGGAAGAATGATAGGCAGACGTCACGTTCTTTTGATGACAGAAAATGCTACAATCATGGACACATTGCAACAGTATCAACAATAACAACATTGTTTAGTCTCTCCACCCTACTACTCAGGTGTAATACAGTAATTAAAGTAGATCAAAGGCAGTGGTGTACCAGGAGCCTGGTTGAGTAAGAGGCTTGTATTTGCGATACTTCTTGCGCCACTCGATTTGTTGATGGCATTTCTCACAAAGTCCATGGATAGGCATCAACATAATACGCTCCGTCTTTTTAGACTTAGGATTGTGCTTGAATGCAAACGAATTCTGATGCTTGGGCGCACGTTTCTTCATATTACCACGCTGCGAACTCATATTCAATTACTTGGCTGCAAATTAATTGAGCCCAGTCAAAAGAGTACTAAAGATGGTGTGGACAACGTCAACTATATAAAAAACAGTGGTCTTGTCTAAGGAGCTCATCTTCTCAAATTTATCGACATTTGATTGGTCATAATGCTAGATATGAACATTTTGTCTTTCTTCTTCACTAATTATATGCTCGCTTACAATATCGACTGCAATCGCCGTTCTCTTTCTCATCACGTCTTCTTCCAGATACACATCGGGAACATGGGATCCATCTAGACCCTGAACTGAAGAAAACATCCTTGACCTCTTTCTTCATGTCTCTTATGGTGACTTGATAGTGTAAGCAGCAGCGCCCAAACTGATAACTCCAGCCGCAGCAAAGACCGCGTATGAGCTTGAAGGTCCCTCCACATTGTTAATGAGCTCGGGTTTGTACGTCCAGAGGCTGTGACGCACCGCGCAGAGCACGTGATAGCTCGCAGGAAATGCCACGAGCAGCTTAGAGGCCGGCGCAAAGAAAGGGATGGTGTCTTGCGCCATGTAGATGAGTCCAGGTACGTCAGCGCCCACGAAGCCCAGTGCACTGCCACCTACCAAGGCAAACGACATGCCGACGGCCGAGAAACGGTTTGCAATGGACGAAATGGCGCTCACGGGAAACTTGTAGATGGTCACATTAGGCGAGATGGGACGACCCAATGCTTCCTGTCTAGATGAGTAGTTCTCTGTACTCACAGCGCGTGCGAGTGTCGGCGTCACGGCGCGACTCGCTAGCTTCTTGCTCAGTACCTGAAGACTCATTATTTGTATGATTCGGGAATGACGCTGGCTGTGTTGAAACTGCAGTTCCAGAAATACATGCCGTTTGGAATCGTGATGAATATGTATTTTACTTGATCTAGCACCTGTCAAAAATAGTATCTCTTATCAACACATCGTTGCAAGATTCGAAGTAAAAGATAATGAAAGTTCTGATGGCTGATATGATTGGTTAAATATACGTACGTTTCAGCCAATGTCGTGAAGAAAACGGTTTTGGGTGATCCACAGACCTCATGACAATGCTGACCACGACGCTGCGCCGTACAACGGCCTCACAGCGCGCGCTCGCGCTGCTACAGAGTCAACGTCGTCATGGCGGTTCAGTCAGCAAGAATAAACATGTTGAGGTGTGTATCCGAATGTCTTTTTACACTCTCAAACTGCCTTGAAATCATGTGAAAAAGCTCATAAGTCTGTTACAATTAATACTACCTTTCATACTTATTTGCCTTGTAGAACTGGAACAATTGGCGAGGAGACTCGGAAAAGCGTTTCAAATTCAACGGCCATTTCTTCACATATCTGGCGGCCGGGGGAATCTTTCCTTTTACGCTCTATTACGTCCTGGGCTCCGACGAGCGTGTACGGGGCTATATGTCGTCTGCTTGAGGATTAAATGCCTCTGCTAGTGGCTGCAATGATCTTACTATGTGTATGTTGACAGCGTAAACGTGATGGGCACAATGGCATTCCAGGCAACTTTCGTCAGTAAAATGGACAAGATGAAGGACGTGAAGGAGACTAATAATAGTCATGTCGTCAAGATTGCATGGATAGATAAAGCTCGTGGCTATCGGTATTACTCCTCATTGAATGAATAAAAGGTGGCCGTGTCGACGGGTGAACATGATTAAAAGTTGCACTTGTCAATACTGAATCAAACCTTCTTTCCCAGAACTTGTAGCACTGTCTAAATCAATAATTTATACTTGTCATGGAACAGGTATCACATCGTACTTGACATGGTGCGTGATAGTTTTCTTTCGTCTCCTGATAATGCATGACAATAGACAAGCAAAGGATACCCACAAAGCGACGGTGGAAGCATTTTACGTCCGTGTCATACATCGCGTGTGTTCTTTGTATCAAAATGAAAGCGAGTCGCCCTCAGACGAAGCCATTGCTCGACTACAGCAGGTTCGTTCAAGTTTCTCCTCCAGTCATTCTGTTGGTCTCATTGTGAGGATAAAAATGCTGCCATAGAAATGGCAGGAAACATTGAGGTTATACACGGGAAAGCAAGAGCCTTTTCATGCATTGGCAGATGAGGACGACGTTTTGGTGATCGAGTCCTCGACTGAAAGTGAACACGTGAGTGACGAATCATCGTCCACATCATCGTCATCGTCGAGTTCCTCTTCTGACTCTGAAACTACTTCAGAGCAAGCAGTCGGTCGACCGAGTGTACAAATGGTACGGCACTTGAAGTGGTTTGAAAGTGTTAGTAGACAGCTGATTGAATTGTGTCATGTAGCCAAGTGCAGCGACATCGTCGATATTCGCCAAAATGGTAAAGAGTCAATTGCAGTAGTAGTGCTGTAGTATTTTGGACGGAATAGGATTGAAAAAATGGTCGTGTGGTGTGTCGATCAGCTTGGAGGTAAGCGAAAACTGCATCAGCTAGATGGGTCAGCATCGGATGCTGAGGATGGCGTCAAACTGCAAGAATCTGCTGATCTGGAGGTTTGGCTCATCTTCGTTAGATATCGTGAGGTCTACGTTTATTTTTATCTAGCTTTTGATTGTTTTACGTTGTTAGTGGAGGCAAGAACTACAACGACAAAGCACAGGAGCAGCTGGAAATTCACCAACAGCGTTGAGAGACTCGTTCGATGAACAAGAAGACAATTTGGGAGACGAAGTAGAAGATAAAGAGGACATAGAGGAGAAGGAGGCTCACCGAATGACCTGTGAAAAAGAAGGGAATGAAGTGGATGCTTTGGAACTCGATGAACAGCTATCGCCAAGTCGAGCACATTCAGACATATCAACGTCGTTGCTCGTCTCTTCGGACGATTTGGCTCCTGTGTCGGGCCTCTCAGGCATTAATCTACCTTTACAGCTTGCTGCTGAGTGTTCCAAGTTCACTTACCGTGGAAAACGTCGGGGATACACTGGTCAGCTGCATGCAATTGTATTGACATGGCCAAACAGGTTGGGGGTACGAGAAACAATTTGTCCCGGTGAGCTAGTGTGGTGCTATCCCAACTCAGCGCCAAGATTTATTGATGAGGGAGAACTTGTAAAGGCGATATCGGCGGGAGACACTGGGCATGAGCTGAAGGTTGAGCTTAGCAATGGGAAAGAAGCTATGGTTTCGATGGATAGGATACGTCGTTTATGCGAGTACTTAGTTCGCCGAGGTAGCGTACGCTTCAATACCGAGCAGTAGCGTCATCATTCTCCAATGACTACTTCGGCAGCCGGTAAATAGATATGGACCTTACAACAATATGCTCTCAATGCATCTCATGTGACGTCGGAACATCACTGAGACCCTGGCGAACGTGTACAAACCAAACAACTAAAACTTCGCAATTCTAGAGTCGCAGGCATTTCACAGAGCCAACTTCATTTTTCATTCGCATGCCAAGCCAACGTTGCGCAAGAAGCTTTTGACGGCTCAAAAGTAATATGAGTGATATGTACTGTAAATAGTACGTCTAAAGCCATTATGCCATTTCCGCTGCATGACCAGGAGGATTACTAGTTATGCACTGCAGCTTCAGCGCTTGACGAAAGACTCGAATGGCGTCGTCATGTTCTCCACGTAAATGCAGCAGCTTACCTAAAAGCGACAGCGCACCGACTGAGGCTGGTTCCAATTCCAGGGCGCGGCAAACAGCTTCCTCAGCAGCTTTGCTATCCGTCCTCGAGCCGTCCAAGGCTTTTGCTAACGAGAGCCACGTGACTGCATTGTTGTTGCAAACCTCAACGCTAAGGCGCAATTCTACAACAGCCTCAGCAAATTCTCCATCCCGCAGAAGCGTTTCACCCAGTTTATAATGCACGACAGCCAAATCGAGTGGTGGTTCGAGATTTCCAAGAAGGTCTGCAGTGCAGCTCATTCTTCTACCACCATTCATAAAAGCAAGAGTCGCCGCAATTTCTGCCTCCTCATCCTCATCTTCGTCTTCTCGGGGACTACAACACCTCTTTCTTTAGTGCTTGTTGGTAACACCATCCAGCTCAAGCTTTTCGCGTTCTGTCCAAGAAACGTTGTTCTCATCGCGCCACGGAATCTCACCAAACTCGCGCCTAGCAGCTGCCAATTGTTTTACGCGCTGTTTCATCTCCTGCTCGTCGCTTTTGCACCTAGACTTAACCTCGCATAATCGTTGCACATGCAGCGACGTGTCTAGAGCGGACGAATGTGGCCGAGATCTCCGTTGTATACCCTTCCGTCGAGTAGACTCCGTTTTCATTGACTGTCTGGGCTGCTCTCGAGATAAATGTCGGTGTTCGAGGACTGTCAGCTGCAGAGGTGCCATAGACACGAACATGGAGCCCATTTTCGGTTGCAGGGACTCGACAGCTGCCGAAGATGCAGTACTCCGATGCCATGATGCTGCGACCGGAGTAAAGCCATTCATACTGATCTCGCTATCTTTATCATAGTCATCGCGCCACTGAGTCGGCCTTTGGTATTGCACCGGCTCACTATAAACAGATTTACTACGCCGTCGGTAGCGAGCGCGCATACGCATCGAGTTGATCGAATAAATGCTATTTGATTCACCATTGTCAATGTCCGGGTCTGCTCCTTCCATGGAAGTGACACGTTCCAACCCTCGCACAATAACTTGTTTCTGAAGCTCGTCGAAGCAACATCTACACACTCTTTGAGGTTGCACGAGTCCAAGATGCTTTAACGGCACACGCAATCTTGAGTGTCGTCCACACACCGACGCGCCACAATGGCGGCAATGGTGTCTTATCTTAAAGTATCCAAACGTAGCAGCACATAGTCGACAATTCATTGCCAGGGACCATCTTGGAGGCGGTACATATGGTCTCGTCATGGCATCAAGGGTCTCTTTCTGAGTGAAAGACCTCAATGTGCTCAACCTCTCCACCATTCTCATGCTATTTCTATCCTCACTCTGATATTGTTGTTGCTGCTGCTGGTAGTTCTTTTTCAGATTAAAAGCGGGCCATTGAAACGTCGGTACCATCGCTGATGAGCGCGCCTCCTTGAGTCGTATAGATTTCATGCACTTGAGAGCCGTTATGTAACCAGGACTTATATTTTGGAATGCGACCTTTCGAGGAGATTAATAATATGAGAGTTAAGAGTAGTAACAGGATCGCCTTGATGATACTTTTGGCATATTAATATGGGTACTATTGATGCATTTACGCTGTTAATATATTACATAATGTTGTAATAATAATAAAAGGGCTGACAATAGTAATATTGGCAACAAAAACGAGAGGGTGCGGTAAAAAAGAAATGCGTTTTCGCTAGCGACTTCTTGTGCGATTATATTCTATGCGAATATGTGACAAATCTTACAGCATGCCCGTTCTCATTGAAGCTTCCTCGCGTGTTCGCAGACTACTAACTTGCTAGTAATACCATCTATTTGTTTTGATTCACACTAGCAAATTTGCAGCTTTTGATGAAATTTCATTCCTTGAATTTCCATCTCAGTAATGTTTCAAATTGGTCCGATAAAAAAAACATTGATACTGACAGCTTACAGTGAAGTAAAAGGGATCAGCAGACGCATCGGTGTTGTCCTTTGTCGCTTCTTTTGGTAGAATTCAGCGCTATCAAAGTACAAAGATTGCTACTTCACAATCTTTGTCAATTCGTATTTGGTTCTCATATAACCAGACGCCAAAGCTTGATTCCTGTTGTTCAAGGCTTGAACGCAACCATACAGCTTTGATCGCGACGAAGCCGCGTCAAGAGTCCAAGTCAAATATTGCTTATTTAATGAACGACAGCTTTGACCTGGTAGTCTATCTTTTACCAGGACGGCACATGATCACATTACTGAAAGGAAGATGTTTCAAAACAAAGGATAGGAATCCCCCCATACTTCTCCAGCTAATGCTTAAATCATGGGCACTTGCGATTGATCCAAATAATGACATCGCCATCATGAGTAAAAGCTCATAGCTACCTTCAGGCCCAGAATATTAGTAAGACATATAGAACAACAGTACTATAAGCGTAAAAGCGCTGGTGCACAGAGACTAATGCAATTCTTCAGTTTTACTGACCCTCCAGCAAGTCAGATCTTCAGCATCCACTTTGCACGCATACTCTCTCTTCTGGATCATAGCAATCGCCACCAATGCAGTAAACATTCTTGAGACATCCCTCCAGTTCTCCAATTCCGTTGCTTAGAATGTGCTTATTCTTGATTTTTCGGTCAATTCGACGGATAAAAGCTTACATGACGGGTTTTGGCCTAAGACGCGAGGTGTTGGCGCTCTACCGAGACGCACTCCGCGTTGCGAGGAGCTTTCCTGATCGCAGTATGGGCCGCAAACTACAATACAACGCGCGCGAGTTACTACGTCTGCGACAGCACGAGTGCAGTGCCGTGCGCATCCAGACGCACTTGACGGAGGGCCATGACGCTCTGAACGTATACCGAGTGCTGCAACGTGATGCGAAATTGCTTATCGCCATAACGAGAAAGAATAGACCCATGTCAGAGTCGGAATCCAATTAGAAGCAAAACGAGATAGCATGAATATATGTACAAGTGGTGAAACATTCTTGCTAGCAGAGAGAAGACTAGCGTTGGAGAGAGTCGCCTCCTGCACTTATAATCGAGCTTTCACAAGGATTGAAGTACCAATGACTGAATCAAAGTGACGCATGCGCAAGCATTCTCAACAGGGCTTTAACTTAGAATGCATTCTACATGTGCTTTTGCACAGGTGTAACTTTCTAGATACTTCTTGATGAATATGCTTGATCTAAAGACCCAAGCACTTGCACATGTAGGCAAACGCAGCTTGACTTAGTTATAGAAATTAGTATGCACAATCTACCTTCAGAAGTGTATACATTAATCTCAATATCAGTTCATTTCGCTTCGCTTTCACAATAGAGAATCTTGCAAGACAATAATCTTTGTTGCCAAAGCAATAACGAACCATACATACTATTACTACATGACCAACAACAACAACAACGCCTCAACATTCGCAGCCGAGTTACCACTTTATAAAATACATATAAAAATACCGTGGTTGAAACTTAAGATAACGTGTGGTCCACAACCTTCCAACGTATGTCTTGACCCTTAACTTGCAACACTGCAATTGGAAGATAGAGCCGCCAGCCAAAAAAGGCTTTTAAGCGACCCCAAGGTGTCAGGTGCCGTCTGCCCTCTTCCTTTCTCTCTCTTCTTTTCCTTTCGCTTCTCTTTTATCCACACCAATGCAAACTACAACTTCAAAACCACTTGGTCAAGTAACAGCACCCCGCAAGAGCAACAACGGCAGCTATTCCAAGAGTCAAAACAAGAAGAAAAAGTCGCCCAAGAGTCATGGCAATAACAAGGAGCGACCTGTGGGTCCACGTCCTGTAGCCCCACCACCTGTTTCTGGACCATGGGGTAATCCTACAGCCCCTGCAAATAATGCACCCCCACCGGGATTTGCTTCGAGTCCATTGAAATCTTCTTTTAGTGGTAAGTTCCCGAGAGTTTGAAAATGACATTTGTATCTCAAAGTAGATGAGGAATGTACGTACAGTCTGACATGGTTTTTGTGTGTTACTTTAGATGCACATGTGAGATTACTACGACACCGTGCTTTGTTTGCTTTCCGCTTCTTAGTAGGCAAAGCAGTCGAACTGCAGCTCGTGGACTCGGATGAACGATACGCTGGCATTTTAGATTGTGTGGACCCGGACGACTTCTCAGTTGTGCTCAAGAATGCCAAGCGGCTGAGTAGTAAATCCGATGCCATACCTTTTGTGGACGGCAGCACGGTGATCTTTAAACGTCACCAGCTCGCACAGTTGGTGGCAGACGGTACGGTCAATTATACAGATGGTGTGTTTGCGTCGGGGACGTCTACAGTTTCCGCTGGATTTCGAACAGACACGGAGATTAGCGGACGCAAGGAAGAGCATTTATTTGGACGTGAACTGGAGGCAGCGAGCTCATGGCTGGACCCGGCGTTGGACACGGGCGCGCTGGAAAATTCGGTTCCAAACGGCCGACGTTATAGTAAGAATCAGGGCAAAGCTGGATGGAATCAGTTTGAAGCGAATGAAAAGCTGTTTGGCGTCGTGTCGACTTATGATGAGAATATTTATACGACCAAGTTGGACAAGTCCAAGATCTCCACCGAGCAGTCACGCACGGCTGAGAAATTGGCACAAGAAATTGAGCAACAGTCAGCTGCTGGAAATTTCCATTTGCAGGAAGAACGCGGACAGAATTGGCGTGGCGGAAAACATTTGAATGACTTGGACGAGGAGGCACGGTACAGCTCAGTAGACCGCAGAGCTCCAGACAGCTTTGGTGAAAACACATATGTGCCGCCGGCTCTACGGAAAGCGCGAGGTCAATCTAGCGCTGACAAGTCGCAGGACAGGACGAGCAAAGCGCTACCGACTATCGTACCAGCCGATGCCGCAACTCCGTCTCCTCCAGATTCAGTGTCGGCTCCTGCGGCGTCCCCAACTGCAATTGCCCCAATTGCGCCAAAGCCGCTATCCTTTAGCGAAGCTGTCACTGGTCGATCCGCTGTTGCTGCAACCCCGGAGGCCGCGCCTAAAGCATCCCCTAAAAGCCAGCCAGAAGAAATGAAAGGAGCTGCTTCTCCGCATATAGCGGAGGCATCTTTGCAGGTAAATGATAAGGGCATAAAGACCACTTCTACAAAGTCAAAGAGAACTACCCCGAAGAAAAAAGATGCAGCTAGTGGACAAGAGCAGAGGATAGAGAGCAAGTTTGAACACAAGACTCATAGCTTGTCATCGTCTTCATCTTCGTCGACGACAACTAAACAGCTGACAAAGAGTGAGACACCGATGGCAACTTCCAAAAAGGCATTGAACCCGAATGCGAAGGAGTTCAAGCTGAGTGCTTCCGCAGCCGCGTTTACGCCAACCTTCGCGGTGCCGAAAGAGCAGACGTCGTCGCCATACTGCGGCAGCTCACCAGTCCACATGCCTTATCCACATCCTGGCGTAGGTTATTCTCTGCCAATACAAGAGGAATGGGCGTATGATGGTGCCATGGGCGGTGAAGAAGGTGGCGAGATGGGCATGCCTCTTTACATGCAGGGCTGCTACACGGTGCCTATGGGACCTAACGGAGTTCCTATGATGTACCCTCCTATGATGATGCAGCACAACATGGGCGTGATGAGTGGTCAACGCAGCAATTACGGTGGTTACCAGCAGCAGGGATACAACCCTCAAGGGTACTACTCGCCGCCGAACGGTGGCCATCCCGGAGCCAGTTTACCGTACATAGGTGACCCAGGTATGCCCGGAGGTGTAGGTCATCAGCCCCCTCTACCCCCAACGCCTAGCGGCAATGAGTCTCTCAGTGAATCTCCTGCTAGTGTCGCTCTTCTCGCGGAAGTAGAATCTGTTCCTGCACGCTCGAAACAAATGGTATCGGCTTTGAAGAAAAAGTAGACGAGGTTCTTAGTAGGACCGTACGCATGGAATGATTGCAAAGTGTGAAATCAAGAGGATGATGGAGAGAGAGGTTCGTGCTCAAGACTTTTTCGTTGTTATTGATGTTGTGATGGTAGGTGCAGGGATTGTATAATCGCGTTTAGGTGGCGTACTGGTAAGTCAAAGCTTGTGGTGGTATCTTCGACAGCATTCGCCGATTTGGTGCCGAAGGCATGAAGCGGAGACCAAATGCCTTAGGGAAAAGATTGGATGCTGTCAATTGATCAGATTGTCAATACTGGGCTTGCGAGGATTTAGACACCCTTGTGAGCAGGAACAATGGAGCATTGAGGTAGATTGGACTGGACCAGACTGCATCACCCGTGCCAACATCTTCAAGAGACCGATCTATTACGGAGTATACTTTACATTTGTCGGATAAAAGAAATTCTCGATCAACGGCAATGACATACACTACATTAACCAGACGAAGACGGTAGCTTTCATAGCCAGCAATCAAGAAGTGATTGAAAGTGGAGCAGAAAAGCACAAGAAGAATCCGTAATCAAGTCACTGGAGGAAATTGTTTGCTTCAGCAACTGCTAGTCGTGTCCTACGACGTAAAACTGATCTTGAGGCGGTGTAATAGGGACATACCATCCCCATTGGGGGCTATCTGTCTGCACTGCGTCTACGTCTGAATCGTTCCCCATAGCGGCCGCCGTCACTGCGTCCAACTGCTGTGTCGTTACGCTTTTAGTCAATCCACCGGCAAGTGTCGCTCTATGTTGCTGAAAAGTGTCGTAAATGCTCTCCGGTACGTCGTCACGTGCTTCGTCGTCACTATCAGTGTCATCCAAGCGTTTCTCTCGGTTATGAGGCACAGATAAATCGTTCTCAAACACTTGCGTTAAGCTTCCACCGTGTTCGTCGCACCAGCTCACAGCAGCCGATAGTTTGCAATCACTGGCTACTCCAGAGAATCCTTTCCGTCGATTCAACGTCCTTTTTCTGTGTCGATTAGAAATACCAACAGCAGCAGCAGCTGCAACGTCGTCGTCGACGAGCTGAACGTCGTTGTTTTTTTCAGCCAGCTCGAGCGTGTTAAGGTACGTGATGACGGACACGGCGGTTGCGGCAGCAGCAGCCAGCACTGGATGGTCTTTAAACCATTGGACACCACTTGAGAGCTCTTTGGCCGTGGGAAAGAACGAGGCCGTCGAGGTCGGGTGCATGGCTACACCCAGAGTGATGGTCGTGCCGTCGAGGTGCAAGAAATTGGCAAATGGCTGCATTGCGAAAGGGCGGACAGGTGTGTTCTTGTCGAGGGAGATGTGTGAGAGTATAATGAATGAAAGAGTTCTTATAACGGATAGTCACACCACTTCAACTTTACCTTGGTAAAAAAAAGAACAGTCACGGGGCACCACCCACCCCACCCCTGCCCATGGTGGAAAATGAACCCATAATCACAGAACAAGCGACAACCTATTGAATTGCCTACTTGATGCCATTTCATAGGACCACGGTCAATGACAGGATAGAAACCAATTACGCGCACAAGAATTAACACACCTCAGTACGTCTTTCCCTCCCCTTCCTGAGGCTTTATACGTACTTATTCATTCGTTACCAATCATTCTCTTCGTTGTAGAGACTTACGATGGCCGAGAAGAATGAAGAAAATGATTATTGTCCACTCTGTATGGAAGAATTAGACCTCACTGATCAGACTTTCAATGCTTGTCCATGTGGCTATCAAGTATGTCTCTGGTGCTGGCATCAGATCAAAAATGAATACAATGGTCTCTGTCCAGCTTGTCGTCAGCCTTATGCCGAGCTCTCAAAGCAAAAGAATCCACTTGATCGGGACGAGTGCGTGGTTGCTTGTGTTTCGTGTATTGTACCTTAATGTGATGTATTAATACTTCATATCTGTTTTCACAGGGTCGTACGCCGGACCAAACAGCGTAAACAAAAGGAAAAACACGAACGACGATCGGCGACGCAGACGAGACACTCGACGATACCCCGTAAAAGTTTACAAAATGTACGGGTTATGCAACGAAACTTGGTGTACGTCATTGGATTGCCCGTACAATTTGCCCATGAGGACATTTTACGCTCAAATGAGTGTTTTGGTCAATATGGAAAAATTATTAAAGCGGTGGTGAACAAGTCGCACTTAAGTGCCGATAGAAGCAACGCGACGGCAAGTGCGTACATTACATTTGCAAACAAGGAGGACGCACTGTGCTGTATTTTGGCCATTGATGGATACTATCTAGACGGTAGTGTATTGCGGTGAGAGGAGAAGAGTTTGTGTTGTTGTCTTTTTTGCTGTCTTTTTTGAGGGAGAATATTGATGTAATTGACAATATTGGGATGCTTTTTTTTGCTCTTTGTTTTCTTTGTGATAGAGCTTCGTTTGGAACGACCAAGTATTGTAATTTTTTTCTTCGGAATATGCAGTGTAACAACCCCGACTGTTTATACCTGCACAAACTGGGTGAAGAGGAAGATAGTTTTACAAAAGAAGAGATGCAAGCGGGTATGGTGTATTGCTAGCATGAAGTACAGATGACGTGGCTGACTTTGTTTTGTGTCTGTTTGTTGTCGTGTGCGGCTCTTTTCGTATAGCTTTGCATTCTGGGAAGGCGGCGTTCCGGGATACGGCGATGGCGAGTGGAGAGACAGAAGATCGGGCAGGATCACAGTTCCCGCCACCGCACAGACCTAGCGCAGCCTCCTCTAGGACAGGTACATCTGCTAGTGCAAGAGCTTCATCTCCAGCAAAAGCAACTTCATTAGTCAGATCACACAACGAAGAAGTCTACGGAGATACACAGCGACATGCACAGAGCGCAGCGGCAATATCGAAACTCAGACAAGCGTCAGGTGATATCAACAATAGTTCAAGGTCTTTGTCGCAGGATCATGCCGGCGGAACACGAACACACAGCACAGAATGTCCACCTATGGCACGAGAAAATTCGTACAGCAAAATTGTCGCTGGGGGACCAAATAGCAGTCACGCAAATGAGGCAGCAAAGACTTTACCGGATGATATACAAAGCATAAAACCACAGCTGTGGGTAGACACATCACGGGAAGAAGACGCAACACATACTGTGGGGGCTGAGGTGAGCCCATTAGAGGTACTTAAACTAGCGACAGGGTCGTCAACTGAACAACCAGCATGGGCACAACCATTCCCTATTCCGTCAGTATCCCAAAGCGAAAGGGAAGAGCAGGCTACAGCTACGAGTACTGCCACCAGCACTAGCACTGCAGCAGGCGTTTATAGTCCGTTTGGGCTTGGCTTTGAAGGTGGCATTCGTCGCGCCAGTAGTGTCACAGATCTCATGTCGAACTCAGCAGTGCCTGGCAGCGTGTGGGGATCCTCAAACGCGTCAGACAGTAACCTCAGCTCGTTCCCGTCTGCCGCCGCAACAATGACTGCTTCTAGGAGCTCCTCATCGTCGTTTGCATCAATCGATGCGATATTCAGTCAGCGAAACGACTCGACAGAGGCACTTGCGGGGCTGCTCGGCGTCCAGTTGGATTCCAACCCAATGGCGCATGGTGTGCCTTTGACAGTGCCACCTAAGGATGAACACATATCGCGCTTTTCTTTCGCGAATCTTGCAGACGTTGGTCGTGGTGGTATGCAGCAAAAATCAGCTCGCTATGAGTTGCTCGATGGAACGACTGTCAACAACTGTCGCTCGTTTGGCGGGTTTGACGCTGCTCGTGCCGGAAATGCTCCGTCAGTATCTTCAGGGTTTCTTTCACCCACAGATGGGTCCGGCTTCGCTCCACTTGAAAGCTCCCAACCGAAACGGCATCATGTGCCACTGCCGCCGCATCCTTCCAGGTGTTCGTTTGGTGGCGACTTTCGCAACGGTGAGCCGCCACTTAGCGGTAGTGGCGCACTAGCCGGGGAGCCCAGTGGGCTCGCTTTTCTTCAGCAAATGCTGCCGAATGTGAACATCAGCCTTGGAGGTGACTTTCCTAGCCTATCTGGTCCAGGATCAAGTGGGGTCGATGCAGCGGCGACACCTGCTCGCAGTTCGAGCGCAGGACGTCGACTGTTCGAGCGCAGCCATAGTACTGGTAACAATTCGGTTTCGCCGGATTCATGGGACGGTGGAAGTCTTAGCTCTTTTGGCTTTGATGGACAGTCCGACTCTCGGCGAGAATCGAGTGTGCCATCGTTCTATGACCCGGCCCTTGTGCCACAGTCACTAAATGGATTCTCAAGCAGCTTCTACGGCTTGCATTCTTCGAGCTCGATGGCCCCCAGTGACAGCGAAAGTGAACGTCTTCGTATGAATAGCGACTTTGGCGGTGATACATATCTGTCGAGTTCGCTTATCAACAATAGCTAGACAACGAGGCTGGTGCTATTAAAGGAGGGGAGATGGTGCTAGCGCTGTCACAGACACGTCGCACAGTGAATTGAAGGCAAAATGGCGATGAGAAGTGATACATACCGGGCTACTAGACCACACACATACACAATAAACGAGCGAAAACACACACGACTCAGCTGACCACGGAAACAAGAGAAAGACCACACAGATTATCCAGAACAAGCGCCTGATATGAACAAGCTATCGAGACGCGACACACATGGCAAGACCTTCCCTTGCTTCCGTCATGATATGTCCGAACACAAACACGAGTCGCCTTTGCCCTTTGATTCGTCTCTTTTGTGTCTTAGGTTTCTTTGTCTTGTAAAAGCAGCGCTGTTTCAATGGTTGGTCATTGATTTCTGGATTGAGTAAGGCAGGTAAGTGCATTGGTTTGCCAGCTGAGGAATTAAGAAATGCATACTAACACTTTGCCGTGTATGCTGCGTCCTAGTTACCGACGATGCGGACAATTGTGACATTGCCAAAATCGCAGAGGCGATAAAGCGCGCTGCCACGTGCTGCAATTACATAACTGGAAAGTATCGGGTCGTGCTCGCTCAAGAACCCTTTGACCTGCGAGTAACGCTGTTGCCTTGGACGATGCCAGGTGCAGGATTATTATTTGCCGCTGTTGGTGAGAAGAGCGAAGCATTAGCAAAAATTGCACTCGACTTACTGGCAAGCTGTCTTCGTAAAAGACGACGCAGACGAAGCCTTAGGTCACTCGCTCACGAGCACTCGCCGGTTGGTAAAATCGCTCTTTAATGCTTTCATCTTTGGGGTCTCAGGCTCGGTCTTTTCGCGCTCAACCTTGCTAGCCTTCACAGGTTATGTCATCGTAAACATGGAAGCTGGAGTGACAGTCGGAATCTTCGTACACTTCGCATGGGAGCTCATGGCATCGATTTTCGATCATTGGTTGCTGTAAATGCTCGGCATGCCAAGTTCGCCCATCTTGGCCGGGCTGAAGTGGAGACCAACACGAGCGCCTTCAATTGGAGCGATGGACTTGTGGATTCTTGACGTACTTGTGCGTCTCGGCTAGGGATTGCCTTTTGCATCGACCGCACGGTGGAAGTTGAAAGCGAGGGTCTTACCCTTGTCGGTGCAAGTGACTATACCACCCGTCGTATCACTTTTGGGTTGGACGATGTGAGTCGGCACACTTGCAGATACGATTATTGTCCACAATGAAAGGCTAAGACCCTTCGTCACCGTAGTTGGAGCGAGTCTTGTCATTCCCACTTGGATGTTCATTCTTCGCCCATTGGGGATCGGCGGATTGATACCTACAAAAGCCGAATTGGTCTACAGCTTGACGATACCACCAAATGGAATGAGCTCGATGATGTGTTTATCGTTACTGAAAGTTTTACGGCGAGCCGAAGAGCAAATTCTGGGCTTATCACGTTGGTAAAAACTGAAAACCTGAGAACAAGAGGCAGCCGTTATGGCAAAGCAGAACACTATGTTGGTTTGATTTGGGAGAGACTTATCAATATTCTAGTGAAGCTGCCAGGATTTTGTGCTCGTTACGTGAAGTCAAAGGTGACGCAAGTTGCAACTTACAAAGCAATAGGTCGCGAAGAATATGCAGCCAAGATGATCGATTGAGAAACATTTTCTCGAAATTGCTTGTTATAATTAATGGAGTGGAGTTGACATGTGACGTTGGACAACGTATCCAAGCAACTTCGTCATTTCTGTACGAAAGACATTATGGCGTTAAGCCGTTGAATGAGCAGCATGGATATTCATTTCTCTTTTTTTCGTCTCGCAATGCTAAAACTAAAGTGGCGAGTTCACTAGCATGAGAGTGCGTAGCATCTCCGCTTTGCCGAGCTCTTCAATACTATGAGGCTCCAAAGCAGGATCCTCTCGTCAACTCGCTAAGCTCTTGATCCTCTTCCCTTTCTTCTTCTCGTACACATCGACACGGCTTACGGAGCCTTCCAACAAAGCTATGTTGGCCGAGACGACCACGCTCGGCGGTATACAGTTTCATGATGATCTTGTTATTGACTCGACTTGGCAGCATTCCCCATGCAGGTCACTTCTGCTTTGACTTCGTCGTCGTAGTAGTCGGCTAGCATTCTGCCCTGTGTCGGCGTTTCATGGTTTCATTCGGCGCTTAGTTAAAGTGCTCGTTGCCGGGCATATAGGTGAAACCGTCAAAGTGCGCTTGCGCACGATGCGTAGCTCCTAGCTCCTGCGTGACTGGTGAGTCGCGCGCCATTTCACGCGTGAAGATGTTGGCAACGTTACCAGTGTCGGCTTCGCTGTTCACCACAGGCTTAAACGGTGGCTCTATCTCGCGCTTCAACAGCTTGTCAAAGTCGATACTAGCAAAAAACGGATGATCCATGATTTCCTGTACGCCCGACGGGCCGGAGCCTAATCTCTTCGCCGGATCTCGGCGAAGCAGACCCGTCAACAGGTCCTTGGCGTCTTCCGAAAAAGCCTGAGTGAAAACAACGTCCCGGTGGAGAATGTTGTGGAACATGCGCTTTCGGTTGCGATCAAAGAACGGCGTCTGTCCAGTCATCATTTCATACAGTAGCGTACCAAAGCCCCACCAGTCGACAGCCTTGCCGTAAGGCAAGCCCTTCAACAGTTCAGGCGCAATGTACTCGGCCGTACCACAGAAAGTCTTGGCACCATCAGGCACGTCCACGTTCTCCTTCGATAAACCGAAATCCGTCAGGGCGATAAAACCCTTGTCGTCCATCAAAATATTCTCGAGCTTCAAATCACGGTAGGCGATGTTGAGCTCGTGCAAGTGAGACATAGACATCAGTAATTGTGCAGCGTAAAAACGAGCGCGCTTCTCCGAAAACTTGCGTGACTTGCGCAAGTGGAAGAAGAGCGAACCACCGTTGTAGTAATCCATAACTAGGTACAGCTTGTCCTCGTTCTGGAACGCGTACCGCAGACGCACCACAAACGGATGATCAATGTCACGGAGGATACGGCGCTCCGACTTGGTGTGTTCTACCTGGTTCTTCGCAAACACAGATGCCTTCTTCAGCACCTTCATGGCGTAGATCGCGTTCGGGTTCGCTAATGCATCGGGAACCTTCTTGCGTACAAGCATTACCTTACCGAAAGCACCTTTACCAATAACCTTCAGCAGATCGAAATCCTCCACACTCAGTTTCGAGTTCCCAGGAGGCTGAGCATTTGACTCAGATCGACCCTGGTTCGACATCTGCGTGTCCGAACGATTACGCGTTTGTGATGACGTATCCGTCGAGGCGTTTGTAGTCGTCATAGCGTCACTAGTGGTACGGTTCAAGCGCGGGTAGCTCGGAGGGGGATTCGTGGGGGCCTGGTTCGCACGAGGTCCTTCCGTGGCACACTCAGTACATACTCGCTGAGCCGTACTGGATCCCGGCAAGAAGAGCCGGTCACGCGAGCAGGCGTTGCAAACCGCACGGTGGCACATACGGCAGTGGTGACGACGGTCAAACAGCGTAAAGTGGAATAGACACAGATTGCAGTGTTTTTCACTGTTGCCCATCTTGGAGTTGTTTCCTTCACGCCGGGCAGACTCTTGACGCTGCAGCTGTGGAGCAGTAAGGCCACTGACACCATTGTTAATCACTGCCGGGGCCGAAGCAGGCGGTTCAGGAACAGGTTTCTCACCAGCCACGTAGGTCGTAGCATCCCGCGTGTCCAAGAAGCGGAACAGCGCTTCCTCAATCTTATTAATGCAAAAGGCAGTGACGTAGTAATGATTTGCGTGAGCACGAGGTGGTCTACCAGCTGACAAACACGTACAACCCGTACGATGTGGCGCATCACCGTCCAACTTGGTTTGAAAAGGTTGATCATTGCTTTCCCAGTACATCGTACGATGTGCAAGAATCGACTTGACCGATTGCGAATCACCATCTTCAATCCGATGACTCGACTCTATCAATGCAATGGCACCATTGCGCCGCATAAGCTGATCACCACGGGATTGCAATAGATACTTAATCAACACTCCACCATAAGAGTATCCCAAAAAGTACACACGTCGAGCTGCTGATCCTGCCACATAGGAATCCCACAAGGAATCCATATGTTCTTCTGGACTGGACGAGCCAGGAATTTGCAATCTCTGCTTTCCGTCCCGCATGACAATGACATTTTTGTTTGGATTGGCGACAATAATTCCATATCCTTCATCGATCGCTTTTCGAAAATACTCCAACATACTTCCACTCTTGACACCAGCATGTAATATCAATCCTCGACTCCAGAGACCAGGATACAGACCACGACTAACTGCTACAAACACGAGTAACTTTTTACATGTCTCATAATTCTGCGAAACAAAGATATTTGCTTTCACTGGTGCATCAGGTAAACTCGTTGCTGGAATATAAACTTCTCGAAACCCCAATTCTTTTCGCATGGAATCTTGTACATACTTGACCACGGTATTAATGATTTCATCTTGATGTACAGCTAAATCCGAATCATCCAGTCCTTTTCCCGTAGCTTTTAAATGAACCATTCCTTCTTTATCCATAGCATAAAGTGGATGAGAAAATGGAAGAGGAGCTTTTCGATTTGATGAAGAAATTGGAGGTGCTGGTGGTGGACGTTCTTTTGCATTGGAAAGGGGTGGCATGGTTGTCGTTCCATTGGATGCTTGCCATGTTTGATGAGAATCAGATCCAGAACCAGTACTATAAGTACGTCCAGGAGCAGAAGGAGGAGGACGTGGAATCCCATTATTCCCATTATTTTCAGTTCCATTTGGGTAATATTTTGTTCCCCCTATAATGGGTTCTTTATGTTTATCCTTTTTGCGTCCCCATCGTGGAAATCGAAACGACATGGTGGAAATCTAGTGAAAAATAGGAAACAATGGATAGGAGAAAAGCAAAGGTTAGAGAATGAATGAAGTGACCATGTTTTGGCGTAAAGCGACAGGGGACATGGTGATGAAAAAAAGAGTGTACCTGAAAAGAGTACCGACGTGTTGAAAAGACTGTGGACGACGAACGTTAGAGACGGATAGAGAGAAAGAGCGTTAGAGAATGGGGTGTTTCAGATAAAGTTTTTTTTTTTGCGTACGTGTTTTTGTTTAAACAACGAACGACCTTGTTCTTGCCGAGCGAGGAGAGAAACTCTGAACTACTGCGACGACGTACACCTGATGTCGTAGTAGCCAACGGACAAAGAAGATCTCCTACTTTTATGTGCTTTTTTTCTTCTTTTTTTCACCTCACGGATGGTTACGTATGGCCTGCGCAACAATTTGAACTGGACGTCCGTCTATCGAGGCCTCGTCCTCTTGACTTTGGCCCCCTCGTGTTGTCGTTCTGAGCACCCCCCTACCCCTACTGCAAATACTGCAATTTCATTGGAGCAGACAAGAACAACGCGACGATTTGCGCTAGAAAAAAGACGACATCACTGGCGCGCCCCGCCTTTTGAAAAAAGACAAGCTGCGTTTCGGAAGAAAGTGGATTTTACCCATTTTTTAAACCAATTTGAGGACTTTAAGTAAATAAAAAACAGATGGACAAAGCTTGATATGATTTTTAGTAAAAACACAAGACCATAATGACAATAAGAGCTCATATATACAGATATAGAATACCATAAAGAGAGAATATCAAAACGGACCAAGTGGCGTTTTATATTTTTGCATAGAATTAGCGTGTAGTAATATTACCAATAGATAAAACGGTGACGACTCCATGCGACTGACGACAGTGGTAGAGAGAAACGCAGTCCAGTACATACTGAGCTCATCCTGTTGCAGTGAATGATAACATACCGATATTCACTAAAAGATGAAAACTTGATCGGTGCAATTGCGTTATCATGATGCGTTGATAAACACTTGTGGATGCACTTGACGGGACCTTTTGCTAACTTTATATCATATGAATCTCTATCAATGGAGTCAAGCTTGCCAAATACTCGAGGCAAGACGCATTTTGTTTGACAAAGCCGGTGGTAATCAAAAACATTTCATGTTGCACACGTACCTACGTATAAAACAGAAGGTAACATGAGAACAAATGCAAATGAAAAACATATACTACATATCATCGCACGGGAATGTACGTCTTTCGGCAATTGGATACAAGTAATTCCAATGCCATTGTTACCATGCAAATGGTTCACAAATATGCTGGCTTTATCTTCTATAATTATCTTGTGTAACTAACACGCACATTTTCTGATTACTGGCGCCATTACGTGACACCTATAATTGCTAATGTACATTTAAAACGCCCGAGAAATAGATATATATATTTATAGGCAAAGCGGAGTTACCGTGCTCTATTTGAGATTGTACAAAAAAATTGGAAATACAGAGTGTCTATGATATAAAGAGTCGTGATACCATGTAATGATTATCAAAGGCATGGTAAGTTATCGGCTTTTTGACTTTCTCTTTTTCATGTGCAAAGTTTTTTTTATCATCCTCCGATCTCTAAATATTTTTGGAGCTCGTTGTTTTAACAAGTGAAAAAGATTGAAAGCGTCTTTTTATGTGAAACGCACCCATATATAATGTTGCTAAAACTTGCTAGCCTGTAGTGCCTACACTGACAGAAAAAAACGACCAAGAAAGTACCAGTCCCGACCATAAAGTTTGCAATTTGTGCAAACTACTTTGTTAGATACAGGCGATAATATAAAAATGGGTACGTCTTTTCTTCAAAAGAGTCAGCAAGATCTTGTCGCGTTGTGACTCCAGAAAATGTTGTCCGAAGCAGCAATCACATTCGGACGACTCTTGTCACGCATGCTCATCAATACCGGATACTTTTGTACTAATTAATGCTAGCTTATAATGTACCCATATACATGGACTTGAAGCACGTAGCAACAGGTTTTTGATCGGTAGCGACCTTATAACGTACACTCGTCATCTGCTGCATCACTGGCTCAAACAATATGTACTTTCGTTCAAAACCTTTGTAGCCACCCGTTGTCATTTCATCAAAAACGATCTCGTCCTCTGCTGCATTCTCGCATAGTCACTTACTTTTCAGATAGCACACACAGCAATTGGGGTACGACCTCCACGCGGAACGGACCCGGGCCCACAAATACTTCGCCGTCAACGTTCAGTACATCTTCCACTATTGGCTCAATCACCATTGCCTTTCACCTTGTAATAGCCCACTAGCTCCGAGTTGAGAAATGTGTTGGAAAGGTAGCGCACCGTAATCTCGAGTGTCTGCTTGACGTTGCCCTTGCGCGAATAGATGAGGTCAAAATTACCATCCGACGGGTGTATATACTTTGTCTCAAAGTACACGTTCGAGCCGCCAGCAGACGTCAACTCGGACGAGAAACTCTGCCATTGACCCGCGTACTTTTCTTCCCTAGCAGGATGGAAGATGGTCTCGGCGTCACCCTCCCACTGCTTAACCGCCGGGTCTGAGTTTTCATAGATACTGCAGCGCTCCACATGATGTTGGTCCCCAGCAGTCTCATCCATTATCTCATAGTACGTGCGTAGAATTTGCTCGCCCGTCTCGGGATCGACCGGCGTGTTGTCCGACAAGACGTAGCTGATCTTGGCCTCGTGCTTGCGCGGTGCAATAAGGCCACGCTTAACCTTCAGATAAAAGTAACGATATACGCCAAGCCATCGCGTGGTCTCGGACTCTACGGCAATATCCGAGCCGATGCCATAGCTCACACCCGTGCAGGCAAATTCTAGACGAGTAGTGCCATCTTCATTGCTGGCCTGGCACGCCAATACGTCCAGTGGGCGAATCTTGCGCTTAATGATGCAGAACACCGACGAAGCATGAGTCGGGGTACCCACGCCCCTACCGAAGGCGTTATCGGTACCGGCACAGAACAGCGAGACCGGGGTCGTGGCAACCAGGGTACGCCACATACTCTCCTCTCGAGTAAACACGCCGTTCATAAACTCGTTCACTGTGCCGTCACCACCGACAAACACAATAGCCTCGTATTTCATCTTCAAGTCAAACGCCGCACCAATTTCGCGTGCGTGTCCACTATGCTCTGTCTCCTCCACGTCGCAGTGGATGTCGGCGAGCTCCAGCAGCGGTCTCCAGTGTTCCCAGACCTGGCGTCCTCGACGTTTGCCCGAGTACGGGTTCACCACCACTTTGATGCGGCGTGTCATATTTTCCGGCACACGAGCCATCCATTTCACAAATAGCTGCACTGAAGCCACTAGCTTGGTAGCAATCGTTTTATCACTAAAGCGAAAAGTCACGCTGCGGTAGCGGCGCAAAAGTCGGCGATGCTGCTTTCCCTTTCCTGGAAGCATATAATGCACGTCCACACTGCACTTATTTCCAAACGTAAGGGCTGCAGCAAGTAGATCATCCTTGGCAATTTGAAACTCCTTGGTCTTTCTACGAAAAAGCGACAACCGTTGGCAATTGATACCATCACGATCCACCTCCATTGTCATCGTGCGCCATACGGCACCAACTTGCATCTCCATTTGTGCCGTCATCATACATTCCTCAGGGAATTCTCGAAGTCGATGAGAATACATTTCACGTACAGTCTCACGCGCCGACGCAGCTGTCGAGAAACGAAAACGCACTTGACGGTTTTCGATCGCCTTTATAGCCGCGACACGTTGAGAGCTTCCGGACCAGCTCTTGGACCGCATAAGTCTCGTACTTGTTGATATATCACTGTTCTCACTGTCACTGTCGGCATTAATCTCAAACGTCTCAGTCTTGGGCAAAAGACCTTGCGTTGGCACGGCTACAGTCGTAGCTCGTCGAAAGTGGTTCTTAATTGGTGACAGTGTCAAGCAACTGGTAGGAACCAGCATGAGACGATTGTGCATCTCATGAATATGGTCTCGTTCTTCTCCTATGAGCGCCTCGCCGTCGCTGCTTGTAATTGTGGTGCCGGATAAACGCTTGATCTTCACAGGAGTCAACTTGTCATCGTTCTCGTCCAGTTCTATGGCTTCAAACAGCTGGTTTTCATCTTCAATGGTCTTCACGGGTCCGATATACAGATCGTCATCTGTATCGTGCGTTAATAGTGTCGCCATGGATTGAGGCCTCTGTTTTGAGTTGTTATTACTGTCTGGAGGAAAAAATACAAATGCAGATGGAGAAAATAGGGCTGTGGAGACACTGATTACGTCTAGAAATGGTCGAAAAATGAGACGACTAAAACGGATGCTGTAAACAATAGGTTTATTATTTAACGGAGGATTACCAAGATAGCGATTAAAGTATAAACATAATCTGATTGTATATGCATCATAATAGGAATATGCTTGTAGTAAGGATGTGGGTAGGTGTTTCAGGATCCCAGCTGTGTTTCGTCCTACCAGGGCCTACATGCAAATTGTAGTAATCGTAGGACACCTTGAAGTAAACTAAAAAAGTCGAACTACAAGAACCTACTTCATGAAGTAACACCGTCGTCAACGTATACTTAACCAAGGACATTCTACTGTGTTACTTTGTGCATTCTCTCGCAAACGTTAACAGATCCCTCCATCGTCCTCCTGACATCGGAACCCCTGTATAATCTCCTCATCATGCAGTGAACGTCGTTCAGGCGGAGGAAAACACCAGGACGTTCTCATACCATCCGTCCCACAAATGACACTTAGATGACGTTCCAGCGTCGACTTGGACTTGTCTCCACCACGACGAGCTGCAAGTTGACCAGCAATTAGTGTAAATAGTGGATCTTGATAAATATTAAAGAGCTCCATAGCCAACATAAGGGAACAAAATAGTCCAAAGACAGCAGCTGCAGCCAGAATCCAACCGCCAAATTTGCCTGGAAATTGGTCTGTCTCAAATCCACAGGAATATTTGCCACGTGTGCACATAATGTACTGCATCATCACTAGCAATGCCACTTGAACACTTGTAACTGTGACGTACAAGAGCAACAACAAAAAGGCCTTGAGGTTACCAATTCCTACGCAATTATTCACCCAGGGACTGCACAGAATACAAGAGTACATTTCAGTTCATTAGTCAGCCGTCCTCATACACTAGAAAACGGAGCTTCTTGTAGTTGACAGTGTCCCACTTACCAGTGATGATCTTGTAAGACAATGCATCGGTTACAAGTGTGACAATGCAGAGCTCTGGAAAATTGCAACTCACAGGTCAGATAGATTTCAGCTCAGTCTCTCAGTTGCACGTTCACCTTGCAACGTACCTGAGTGGACGGTAGATCTCACACTCGTCGCAGTAGAAGAGAAGCGAGCCATCGTCTTCACATTCTTCGAATTCATTGAGTGAGATTTCCTCCTCCACTTCTTCCATCTCATCGTCATCCTTGGTTCTTTCCTTCTCAATCTCTACAAATGGCATTATTCCCTTGAGCTTGGACGGTACCGTGCCCGGGTTGCTAGTAACCACCACAACGTGGCTCCAGAGACACATACCAAAGAGTCCTGTAAACCAGATGCTCTCTGTCATTCCCATTGGCGACAGGAGCCCCACCCATTCCGAGATGGACATGAGTACCGCCACCAACAAACCCAAGACAAGGAGGCCAGCGAACAAGGCGATCGCGATGCCTGGAGGGTCCCATACGAACCACAACACGTGGCTGGCTTGGCACAGACGACGCGACTGCATCTTACTAGTGATTTGTTCGTCACGATTAGCAGTACTGTCGTATAGCGTCGGGTATTGACAATTGCACAGTGTTATGTCCTCAAATCAGGTCTCGCGTTCTTCTAAATGCCTTCAGTTTCTCACGTCTTCCCTCATGGACACAGGAAATAATGAAAACACTCGCTCTTCCTTCTCGTTTAGACCCATTTTCATCCTGACGCCATCTCGTGTGAAAAACATCTCGCATCTACAGAGCTTTCATCACATCCCACAAAGCTCTTACAATCTCCGTCTCGTCAAGCATGGTAGGCTACGTACGATACTAGGCGTGCTACGAATCGTAGCACACGCCTCTTTTCTTTCATGGTGGGATCGCTACCGAATGTCCAAACGTGATTTGCAAGGAAAGACGCAGACGCTTGCATGCCATTATGCCGCAGCGTTGACTACCAGTTGTATCTTGTGTGCAGGTTACGAGATGACACGCCTCCATCTGGATCCATTCTATCGCATGCCCGAGTCTCTTCTTTCAAACACGGATATGTGTTGAGTCGACAGATAATGCTACAGTAGTCATTGCTCTTTTTGAGCTCATTCTCCATCATCATACCAGGACACTTTTCTTTCTCCACATGCCTCACTTGAGGCTTCTTGCTCTTCGGCATGACTATTTTTCGGCTATCTCCGTTACTTGGACGGGAGTTTGCTTACTTGTAGTGGATAAGTTGGGGCTTTGGCCATAATCCCGAACCGCTTAATTGTAACACCTTGTCCGTAGTAGCTCATATGTTGAGTGTGTATCGATCAATATCTTTGCCCAGACGAACTCGTAAAAATCCGAAACGGGAACGAGAAGAGGTTGTAGACCGTACGAATCCAATTGAAAAGTGCCTGACGCTGCTACGATTCAAATGGTACCCAGCCCAGATCAATGGGCCATTCTCATGTATCTCGATCCTAGTCAAGCATCCCCTTACTCAATGCAGGACTACCACCATCTTGACAAGCCGTAATCGTATCATGCGTAGCAAGTAATGCGAAATTTGTTCACGAAAATGGTAAGAGACCCCATAACCTTCAATGTTTTCCTCGACAGAGCCATTCTCCCCTCGAGCTTCAAGCAATCTACAACCTCTCTCTGTATATCAATCGACGCGAAAAAAAGTAAAGCCTGCATTCCCACATCTTCAATCATTCACAGGATTGAAGCACGTGCAAGTCAGCATCACGTTACCACCGAATTCACAGAGCTTACTGCGCCTGAGACATGGCTGCGTCCATACGAGAGAGTTTCTCTCGATGACTACAGTCGGACAAGGTGCATAGATACATCTAAAGATGAAACGTCTATCAATACTACAACAAAACAAGAAGCAGCGAACAGGTGCAGCTTCCATGTGCAAAAGTATGACTATCATTTGCTTTCGTGGAGCTTTGCATCACTAAATGAGAACAACCCCATGACACTGTAAAAAGCAAGTACTGTGCCGGTTCCTTAAACACCCGTCGACTTTTGCTAAAACGAATGCTGGATCCAACCAAGTGTGGCCGTGCCTACACCAAGTCAAGCTAGCGCTTCCTTGGCTTTCGACATGGAATCAAGATCGGATGTTTTGCGCTTCTCTCTGTCTGACCATACAGTTGATGCATACCGTAGCACATCCCTCATCTTTTCGCTTGGAAACCTTCTATAACGCTATTTGAAATGTCTTTGTCCCCAGTCCTTGGAGAGCCACAACACCTGGTGATGATAGTGCAAGGTACTTCGTCCGTCAACCCCCAATCCCCATTTATTAATCCCCCTTCCTCCCTCCTTCCTCCTTCATCTCCCACGTCACCAGCTCAGCGATCAGTCACTACGTGAATGAAGTTTTGCTAAGTCACTACATTAATTTTGACGTTTTCATGGCCTCCTTCAAGTCCTCGGGCATTTGGCTCAAAAGCACTTCGTCACTGTCGTGTGAATCACTCTCCTTAAGTATGGACTCAATGCCACCGGAGCTTCGTGGTGATCCATTGGATTTACGTCCCCCGTTGTCATCGAATCCGTGCACACTGGGCGAGCTACAGGAGTATGCTTTTTATGGACTTGAGCAAGATGGAGCTCTACGACCTGGGGGACAGGTATCCCTATTGACCCGACGAAGAATCGGGTTATTATTGAATTACGTAGCTATTGGTGCTCTCTATGGAGGCATCAACATTGCTCTTGTGCCTTTCCTGAATCGGCACCTGAAGTTGCAACAATCCCAGACTCGAGCTACATCTATGTTAATCAATATGGCATGGAGCTTCAAATTTTTCTTAGGAGTATTGACAGATAGTGTAAAAATACGCAGGTATAGAAGGAAACCATACTTGATTATTGGATGGACATTGTGTATCACAAGTCTGCTATTTCTCGGAACGTCCGAGATACCCAGGGCTGGGAAGACACACGAAGTATGGAGATATGTAATCTTAATGACGCTTGGGACGCTTGGATGTATTCTTGCGAATGTAACGGCTGATGCTATTGTCGTAGACATAGCACAACGGGAACCTTTACCGACACGAGGGCATACGCAGGTGATCATTTACGCGGCGAAAACGGCTGGCATGATCATCATGAGCCTTTTTGTAACTGGGACGCTCAATGGACCGGAGTATGGAGGAAGCTTTATGTGGTCGTTAAGTTTGGATCAGGTCATCCTCATTCTTGCAGCGTGTACGATGATGCCGCTTGTAGGATCCATTTGGTTCTTGCATGAAGACCCAACAGCTCAAACGGTACCGATTTACTCCTTCTCCAATATGGCATCATGTTCCGTAGCGCCGCAACGCTATCAGCCTGATACAGCCCCCCTCGACCCATCCCTGGATTTTCGCGCGCGCTGTCAGCTCATTTTGAGACTGATGCAAAGTCGCACAATGTGGCAGCTTTTAATGTTTGAGCTTGTTGCAAGCTTTTGCTTGACGATCGATTCAAATGCAAAAACGGCGATTGAAGTGAACTGGGTCGATATACAGATCTGGCCAAAAACAGTCGCGGCAGCAGTGTGGAGTTTGGCTTTTATGGGTGGGTTGTTTCTTACTCGGCTCTTTCTCTTACATTCGGCATGGAGACATATTTATTGCGCTGCGACTGTCTGGACGGTTGGCATCGATGTGATTCGAGTGGCATGCACGGTGTTTAATGTCATAAGAAATCGAAACTTTTGGCTGTACATGCAAGTGCTTGCGGCACCAGCAGTGGCGCTACGCTATCTGGTTCTCTTATTCCCGATTGTTGAGCTTGTACCGCGCGGAATTGAGGGTACCACTTATGGTCTCGTGAATTCATTTCGCAATATGGCCATCCCGTTTGGTGTAATAGCGTACAAAGCCATTGACTCGTATTTCTCCATCTCAAGTGAGGACGTGTATCGTGACTCTGACTTTACGCGGCTACAAGTCATTTACACGTTCGCTATTGGATGGGCTTTCCAGCTTATGAGTCTCGCATTCATCGGGTTGCTTCCACGCCAGAAGCTCGAGGTGCAGCAGTTGCGTTACTATGGAGGCTACAGTACATCAGCGGGGTGGATTGTGATTCTTGTGCTGTTGAGTGCTCTTATGTACTTGACGGTCGTGAGCGTGTTGTCGCTTTTCGAGAAGACGTCTTGCCTCCGTATGGTTGGAGGTTCAGGGTGTGGTAGTTGAGACTTATTAAAGCGATATTGCAAGTATTGGAGTCCAATTTTCCTATCTTTTTGGTATCAGATTACTCAGACCTCGATGATTGACCACCATGCGTGATTGTAAACTCGAGATGCGTTTATCTTACGTGGTTCACATCAAAACGAGTTTTCGGTGGCACTAATACAATTAAATATCCAATCAAATGGGCGTGACAAAGGAGATTCTATCGGCAGGTACTGGGCCGACGCCCACCAAGGGCGCATCTGTGACGGTGCATTGTACGGGTTACGGTAAGAATCGTGACCTGCAGGAAAAGTTCTGGAGCACCAAAGACCCTGGTCAGACGCCCTTTACGTTTAATATCGGACTCCAGCAAGTGATCAAGGGATGGGATGAAGGTGTGCTGGGTATGAAGCTCGGAGAGACGGCCCGACTTACGTGTACGCCTGACTATGCGTACGGCGCGGGTGGTTTTCCGGCCTGGGGATATCCTTTTCATAGTGATATTGAATGTCTTTACACATATTATTTCGTGATATTGTACGTTGTTAGATTTTCTTAATTGTGAATTGTGTGTTGATGAAGTGTACGATTCAGCCCAACTCGGTGCTCATTTTCGAGGTTGAACTGCTCAAGATTGAGTAAATGATGACAGTTTTCGTCGTTTTTTTGGAAGACACACACATGAGAAGAGTTCAAGGAAGCGTGGCAAGAATATTCATGCGGTTAAAAATGAATCGTAAAGCGTATTCTACCCTATCTGTTCCATTTCTTCATTGCTGTTTAATGGCACTACCTTTTTGAATCTTCACGAGCAGCCTCCAGCTGATTCAGTGTTGAGTTCATACTGCCCTCATTGGTGCCACATACCACACGTGTAAGCACCCACCCCACGAAGCCTATCAGAACTACCAAGCCCGCCGGCATCGCTAAGCCTGCCAACACCATCGACATCGCCAAGCCCCCCCCCCAAATATGTTGCAATCTCCTAGCTGATACTCTGTTAGCAGTTGAAACAGTCAAGACCTTCGTTGAAGTAGTTTGCTCGTACTTCATAGGAACGGCTTCTGCCAGGCCCTACCAGCTACGGGACGAGTCAACAAACGGGCATTCGTAGCAAAGTGGGCATGCATTAAGTGCTCAGTCTGAAAAGTGCAAAGCGCCGGTAAGTCGTCTACAGCCAAGCTAAGCACATGTTGTGTTTTGTGTCATAAGTTACGCGCCGGTATTGTCCTGCTCGATCAGGGACACAGGGGACACAGCACTAGCTCACCTCAAGAGCGACATTACAACAAAAAAACGCCAACACCACCGACATCGCCAAGACCACTAAGACCGCCAAGACCACCAACACCACTGACGCCGACAAGACCGACAAGACCGCCAAGACCACCAACACCACTGACGCCGACAAGACCACCGACACCACCGACACCACCGATATCGTCCACGTCTCCGGCGTCATCATCGTCAAAACATTTACTACCTCGTTGTAGACGTTTTGACAATGCAACGACAACAAACATTCAATTTGCTTTTTGTTAGCAACAGTTGACAGAGGTGGCGTGCATTGCCATTTACACCATGAATAAAACTGGAATAGAAAAGAAAATGACCTTCGTTTAGGTTGTCCTTGGCGCGAAAGGGAAAACTAAAAAGTGAGAATGACAATGTGAGTCGACTACTATTGGCTTGTGACCCGACAGTTAAGGTCCTACTAGACTTGCATATTTGAGGTACTGCATGGCATGCCCACAGCACTCGCTTCTTCGATTCCGCGACTGTGCTTCTTAAATACTAAGAAGTTCTTGTTCCACTCGTTTGATCTGCTCGCTCACATACTACTGTGAATACAAGTAACACAGACTCTAAACTAATTAACATACCTTGTTATCCCAAGCGATGACCTCTGCTTGGAGGTCGTTCTCTTCCTGCGCGCATTGCTGCTGCAAGCTAAGCTCTTGGCGACGAAGTTCAAATTCAATGCGTTTTTGGCTGCTTTCACCCTGTGTTTTGGCTGCGCGAAAGTGTTGAGCTTGTTCTGTTCCATGCTACCAGAGTAGACGTAAATCAGTTACCATCAGAAGCACCCAAAGGACATCATGCGAACTGTACAAACCTTAATGCCTTCAGCTAAGACCTTACTTAGATCTTCAATTTTACGAAGCTCCAATGTCATATCTTCTTTCTGCTTGATCAGTGTGGTTTTCTGACGGCGAAGCTTTGCTTTCATCTTGGCAATGCTTTTGTTCTGGCGTTGATACTCTTGAAATTGGGCCTGAAGGTCAGCATTTTTCTTCTCTGCACCGTTTGCAGATGCACGCAAATATTCAATTCTTGTCTCGTGCTCTTCAATATCTTTCATCAGAGCGGCGATCTCACTGTCCAGGGCTGTGGCAGTATTCTTTGCTTCTACAATATGGATATCAATGTCCTCCATGGTCGCATTTAGCTGCAAAGCGAGCTCAGTATCACTCTAACAATGCAGTGACTAGAAGAGCATACTGACTTGTGTGTGGTCGTCCTCCAACACCTTGAGCAGATCCTAATCCGAAATACATGTTATAACGCTTATTGACACGAATGCTCTTCCACACGCACCTGTTTTGCCTCCAGCTTTTGTTGAGCACTCGTTGCAGCTATTTGCTTTGTAGCTAACTCTTTTTGAAGAGATGACGTGTCAAAGTTTGCTTCGGCTCGGCCTACGGTAGCGAGTGCTGTAGATAGCTCAGTAATGATGCGCTGTACGCAACAAGACATTAGTAAAGGTGCAATTTCTACAATTGGAGGATACCCTACCTTTACACCAGCTACTCGCTCCTCACGCTCGCGTAGTCTGAATTAAGCAGTGCTAAATAAGTGGCGACAATATACTCTCAGCAAAGAAAAGAGTAAAAGTTGGGGCACCTCTTTTCTAGCTCTTCACGCTTGGTGCTCAAAGCGCCGATTTTTGACAACGCGTCCTCGTTCGTCATCTGACATTTTTCAAGCTCTATTCATGCATGGCGAGACGTCAGACCCACGATTTAAGTTAAACTGGACGATGTAAAGTTTTACCTGAAGTGACGAAGGAGATCCTACGCTTAAGTGAACTTATCTCGTTCTTAGATTTAAGCCGAAACTTCCTGCGCTTGGTTTTCAACTTGCCTTCAATCTTATCTGAACAGATCCAAACACGATACTTAAGCTTCAACAAGTTATCGCAAAGAATAACAAAAAACAAGAGCACCATTTTCTCGGATGATACGTAGGGTGTCTTGGCGAAGACGAGCGAACAGGATATCCGCTTCTTTTTCCTTGTTACAAACGAGTTCACGCAGCTTGTGAACCTCCTGCTCGCACTTTAGGACTTCGGCTTCGGTTTTCGTCCTCTTTTCGACAAGCTGATTGGTTTCATGCTCCATTTGCGCAATAAACTGCTGGATATGTCTCGTCTTGGCACGAATCTTCTGACGAGCGATCCGCTGTGGTGTCAGCTCTTCGCACTTGTCCATGGCGGCAGAGACTGTTTACCAACCCATACAATAACCAATCAACATTTCATATACCCAGTACTTGTTCCCATTGTAGACGTCGCTCACAATGCGCGTACCGTTGTGCGCCTCCTTCTCGACAGAATCATTCATTGACGAAAGCGTTTCTAATTGCGTAGTAGCATTCAAGATCTGGCACCTCAAGCTGAGCATAGCGGTGCGCTGGTGCTGAAATTGTGCGCGAAGCACTTGCACCTCGTTCTCCCGTTCGACCACAGCGTCTACAAGATGAATTAGCTAGATGAAACGGAAATGACAAACTGATGTCACCTACCTCGGAACTGCCGATGCTTTGCTTCAGCAGCTGCTCAGGATGTAAGAGTCAGCCGCACTGATTATTATACTACGAATGATAGCACCTCGCCCTACCAATTTGCTTCTCCTCGAGACTTCTAAGCTCGTTCGTATCTTCTTCCAACTCCTGCCTTAGCGTTTTGTAGCGATGACGTTCTTTAGTGATTAGTTCCTGCGTACAGGTAACATTCGTCTTAGTTTGATCCTAAGCAGTATCGCTGTGGATCCCTTGTATACGCACCTTGCAGTGTTTAATTCGGGCGTTCGCAGCTGCAACTTTGCTTTCATTCAGCTTGATGCTCTCCATGAGTTCCATCTCGGCGTGCATCATCTCGACTGAAATACAAGAGCGGTGTCAGGATAAGACGCAGAAGGGAGGATGAACAAGGGCAACCCCACCGATGTATCTGCGCAATTCGCCAATTTCGTCCTCCACAAAGGTCGACTTGACGCTTGCTTTGTCCGAACGGAGCTTCTCCATCTTAAAGGCTCCTTCGAATGCGGAATGCAAAAATGATTGCGGTATCCAAAGGGAAACCAAAGGACCATCACTCTGAAATTCCAAGTTGAAGTTGGGCTCAATGCGGAGACTTTTCATCAGCAACCATAGCGCGGTAGAAATCCAGCTCAATCGCCCAATTAAGGACGGAAAGAGAATGCCATTTGAGTATGAAGTAATATAAAGACTTAGATACCCGCTATTCAGCTAGCCAGACTATTTCCTGGAATGTCTTCATGCCGAATCTCTTTCTTCTTGACGTGATACTAGTAGTGCGTGCGTTAAGGAAATGTACACAACACTTTTCATAGCTACTTTGTTACCATCCTTCTGCTCGTCGTTGCTCTCGTTTCCTTCAATAGCTTGGACACTCGCAAATAAAAACTGTTTCTTCACCATTTTGGCCAGACGACAGAAGCTCACAATGTCGACGCGTGCAAATTCCTCTTCGTAATCTTTTACTATGATTATAGCCTCAGCATGAGCACGTTCGGGATTGTCTGTATAGTCCAAGCACAGTGTAAGCACATGTGTATCGTTCTCATTGAGTGTATCAGTAACAATAACTGTTTTGGACCTTTGTAGATGAGAAAATCGGCGCCAAATTTGGAGCCAAAGGTCACAACGTAACCTCGCTCCCACAGGTCCCTGTAGACGCGCAGGCGAATGTGGCGTCGCAGTGCTACAGTAAACACAAATCGACTAGTTAAGGTATCTATTTGCCCCACAAAATGGTGCGATATCTCTTCACTTTATCAGGCAACGCCTTACATAATCTCCAAGGTCCCCTGCGCGTCATATCGCCTGCTAGCTCCTGTGTCATTTGTTTCACTAGTGCTTGTCCTTCTTTGTCACATATCGTTGTACTATCATCACAATTTACTGCTGCTTCTAGACGAAGAAACCCTTTCGCGACTCCGACCGCCATCTCTTCGAGTGCTAAACGCAATCGTGTAGGTGCTGTAGATGCAGTAGCAATGGAGACTTCAGACGAGCCATAAATGCGACATTTGTGCTGTAAGAAAACCACATGTTGAGGGTCATTTACCAGCGCGTAGGTCGCGTTAGGCTCTGAGGACACTATCACCGTCGCTACTGCATAGCAATTGACCATGCTGTAGGTTGTTTCGTAGGTCACGCGTAGGTTTTCGAAGAATGCTTCAGGTTTTAGGTTTTCCTACGATCTGATAATTTAGGTTTAAAAACATCTCGTTATTGATCGGTACTTAACTAATTACAGTACTTTAAAGATGGCGGATGAGACCAATAAGGACGGTTTGGAAGCCTCATCTACCTGTAAAACTACATCTCTTCTTGCAACGTACGAGACGTGGGTGGGAAACCACAAAGGCTTGGCTCGTAATGTGGAGACCACACTTTACGTTGCACCACAGCTGATCCCGGTGATGTGGATTGACATTTTTGACGAAATAGGACATGATTTTGACAGGTCTTCAGTTTATTGACAGCGTGTTGTTTGAATGTATCAGAAAAATGTGATGGAACCTGAGATAGCATCGCATTTGAGCTACTCGTTAATAGGTCTTCTACATTTATACCATGATTACGTACTATGGAAGAAAGAAAAGAATGACAAGGTGGAGCTGCTGCTGACCAATTGTCAAAAGTGCGTGGCATTGCACTTGATATTTGGCTACAAACTAGAAAGAAGTTAATGGGTCAAGTGGATCGATGCTTTATTGTTTATTATTGACAGATTGACCCGCTTGATTCGTGTGCCGTTGTCACTGATTATGCACGTGCAAGTACTGGCAGAAGTTGTGGCTCGTAAAGTTGGAGGTGACGTAGGCAAGTGGCGTTTAATTGTGTGGGTGGAAACAGTTAAGGGCGTGCTACGTCTTATGCTTCTGGCTCAACGACGTCGTGTCATGCTCAGGAATGGAGGAAAGGTGTGTCAGAATTCAGTGATGCTGAAGGTAAAGAACCGACTCATGACTTGTATTTTTTATGTTTTTGAACAGTACAAGGGTGAAGAATCAGATCCTCAACCATCGGTATTCGCGCGGTTTCAAAAGACCAAGCAGCCTGGTGCTCGCACGGGCAAGACTTTTGGAAAAGGTTCGGGTCAGTCTTGGGCGTGATAAGTGCTGGGTTTCATCTCATTATTTTGTTTCTGCTGTTGCGTTCGAGTAGCTACGGCGTCGGAGCCTGAGCCATCGACGAAAACGAGTGTTGATAAAGCGTGCAGCAAAATGACATTCGAAGTAAGCAGAGCAAAGCAAAGATAGGTGCGAGGTGATATGGTGCTTATGGTTTTGTGTGGTTATATTTGTTGTTGTATGATGTCTTAGGATGCGACAAGCGAAGTCGTGGAAGCATCGCGTGAGGATCTTCTTGTAGCTGGAGAGGTCTGCCACATTTTGCGGCCCGTCATGTATGCGTTGCTGCGTCATCGCCGATCGGAAACGTCGTGGACTCCCGTTGTTGTGTCACTTCTCGTGGAACTTTCAGGGTGCGTTTTTACTGTGTTGGCTACAAGTTGGTCGTCGTTCACGTGATATCTTACCGTGCTTTGTGCGCTTTGGTAGCTTGGCGTTATCTGCTGCGGCTGTTAAACCAACGGAGCCAACAAAGGCTGTCTTCACAGACAAGGCTGGGGACGAGATTGCAGCGCGGAAGGTTTTGAATGCATCTTGTACAGTCTTAGCGATAGCTGCCGAGGACTCTCCATTAACGGGTAATAACGCGCAATGGTGTATTTGCTGCAGATGACTCTTCTTCTCTACTTGCTTCGCGACCCAGTGTTCGCGACTGTCACGAAGCCCGTGGCTGGAAAGGTACCTTTTTTCTTTTCGTTTCGTACATGATGCTATACATACTCAATATGTGGTGTCACGTATGTTTTGCAGACTGCAAATGTTCTGGACTACGTGCCAGGGGTGGGCAAGCTCTTCCGTTTCGGAACAACTGCTATACTGGACTATTATCACGACTTCTACTTCTACACGTCGGCATCGTAGATCTCTATTACCACCTGACAGACTTTTTGATCTTCAAGATTATTTGCACAAGATCCATTCAACCGTCTTGTTATTATTTTTATCCTAGAATGGCATGTGATCGTGCAAAAGAGAATGAACAACATGTTCTGAAGCTTTCAGTCTGGAACTATCTAGCAGTATAGTCGTCAAGCACACGATCAAGAATGCTATTTCCCGTCTTAGGCTCGGGTGCACTTCAAAGTCCGCAGGAAAAGTCGACTTGCTTTCGTGGTCCGTCACTTGGAAAGATACTACAGTGAGGATGATCGAGCAACTCCATGGTGGCGAAAGTGAAGCACTTTACGTACGTGGTCAGCGCATACAGGCATTACATGGTAAGCTTTGCTTTGACGAAAGTTGCTCGAAATTCACCATTCACTTGCAATCACTTGAAATTCACCATTCACTTGCAATCACTTGTCTGGTTTTGGGCAACTACGCATATTGTTTCATGACTTTTTTTTACCTGCACACTTGAGCGTAAAAGAGCAGGTATGCAGAGGACAGCGTCTCCTTTCGTAGCATTGCTTCATCAATTACGGTGACTACTTCATCATCGATCCGAAGCCACTGATCGAAAGGTGTAGCATCTCGTCGTGAGTCTTGATGCCGCACATATGCAACGTAGTGACCAGAGTCAATGGAACTGCCAAGATGAGCACACACTGCGATCAGCTTGAATGTGGCGCGTTTCTCTTCCTCCCGGAAGAAAGCGTTCATTGTAATATCCAGGAGATCATCTCTACCACATGGAAAGCTCACCGGGGTATCCACTTTCTCTATTCGACCCCTGAACGACGTGTGCTTAAATCGTTGCAGTCGGAATACTAGCACTGGTGGCACACGCTGCAGAAGAATCTGCGTGAGACGAGTAGTCTTAACGCGACAGTAGCCATCGCAGTACACACGGTTCTCTCCACTAAGTTGTTCTGGATGACGATAATGCTCTAGACAGTCTGCCAGCGTCTGGTCGCCTTTTTCTGAGGCGATCGTAAGAGAGATGATACTGCACACAACAACAAATACTACGATTAGTCAGTTATGTACATTGTCCATCAAAATCAAACTCACCGTTGTTCTTCATGATGACACGTAAGGTTTGCACAGCTACAGCACTGAGAGCCTCGCACAGTCTGCCCTGAAAAAAGATCGGTGATCACCGACGCATTCTGTCGCAAAAAGTGATTCCATCTCACTTCACCAAGGTTTGCTATACACAATCATACCAACATAAAACTCAGTCCAGCCGCCATTCTCTACCATCACATCCAAGCTCCACGCACCCACTGCATGCACGTACGATCGAGGATCGTTCGGGTCGTAGCATTGCATTTTTTTCAAAAACCTTTTTTCCGATTGCAAAAAGTGCTGACGTTCTTCTTCATGTCGTTCCGGCTGAATTGCTGGAGCCCGCAGCAGATTATGTAGCAATTCCAGCAAGAATGAAAGAAACTCTTCTGCATCCTGTTGTTCCTGTCTTGAGGCTGCACTTGATACCAAGTAGGTACATTGACTTGCTACTGACCGAAACTTTCTCATCTTTTGTTGGTTATTATCTCGAATATCTCTCACTCGATCCTGTTTTGCTTTAACTTCCAACTCTAAATCCAGCTTCTCCTCTTGACAAATTCCTCTTAATACACTCACAAGTGTCTCTGCTAATAGCACTTTTTGTACGTGAACATTGTCTGCTTGGTGCACCATTTGCAGTTGTGTACACGTACGTAACGCTCGGTCCACACTTTCCAGAAAGGCAGGAACTCTAGCGAGACATTGCAATACAGCGTTTACAAAACATAAATTGCCATTATTGCCCAGACCATATGGTATTGCACTATCCAGCTGGTTTTTGACAGTATCGTCACGTGACGACGCGTCGTCATCGACTATTTCATTTTTGACACTTTCAACGTCGTCGTCGTCATCTTGAGACCCAATTCCTAGTCGCATAAGAGGCTTTTGCAACCAGATTTTAATCCAGTAACGCAGCCAAAACGTCGTCTTTGTCCACCAGAATAGAAGCAACCACGCGACCTTGGATGATTGAATACGCAGTCGTGAGACACCAAGTGTCGGTCGATCGGTCATGACTTGGTTACGTCAAAAATGAAATGGTGACCCTGACCCTAATGTCAAATTCGTCGAAGAAGGAAAATATTGCAATATACATATTGATGTTTTTATTGACAGCAAAAAACTTATTTGCTAATTCGACCAATTTTATTCGTTGAAGATGATCGAAATGTGGCCAAAATTGTCGATCCTAAGTCTTGTTTGTGCGTTACGTATTGCTGAAAACTACGCCAAAGCTCATTGTTGGCAAGTAAGCTTGTTGCAGTAGGAAGACGATAAGAGTCTGCACATTGCTTTCTTTGTCTTTTAGTCTACCTCTCTTGTAAGAGTGGAGTGAAGTAGTGGTGCACTTGTGCACGTAGAGGCAGAAGTAAAAGTAAAATATATTAAGCATTAACTACTCTCCTTCGCTAGTGCTTTAACATGTACGATAGAGTCAACTGCGACTATACCATGTCTAGTCTGTAGTCTTCGTCTATCCCGCTTCGCCACATCTGTTAAGATGTCACAACATTAGCCAATTCGGGTGCGGTCGCAACTTACCGGGCACAGGGTATAGCCCTTGCCTTCAACACCTTGCAACCTGTCAGAAAAACGATCGTGTTTAACACTCCTCCTCGACTGCATCCTGGATGGTCTTCAACTTGAACATCGTTCGCAGGTCTTTCATTCTTGGTGCCGATAACGCCTTGGTCAACATGTCCGCCATCAAGTCCTCAGACTTGATAAATTTTGGTTGCACGACACCTTCACGCACATGGTGGAGTATGAACTTGAAACGGATGTCCACATGCTTCGCGCTTGAGGTACTCTTCTCGGACTCGAGTTGATTGATTGCCGCTTGGTTGTCAACCACATCGGCATGGGCTCGCTTATCTTCAGCTTCAATTCGCCGAGTACTTCCCGTAGGCCCAGCAATTCACGTCCCGCTTGTGACGCAGAGATGAACTCCGCTTCCATCGTGCTCAACGACACCCCGGCTGTTTCTTGCACGTCCACATCACGACGGCTCCGTCCATAGTGAGGACACACCCGGAGACTGACTTGCGATCAGAATTGTCGGCAGCGAAATCGGCATCGCTCCAACATTCGACCCGAACATCATTGGATGTAGGTCCGACACCATTGAGGTGCAACTTCAAGCCCTTCGACATCTTCAGGTATCTTGCAATACGTTTTGCGATCTTCCAGTCCTTTGTCGTAGGCTTGTGTTTCTGCCTAGTTGCCTTGTAAATAGCAAAGCAGATATTAGGACGCGTGCACCTTGCTATCTACAGCAGGCTCCCAACCAGCGACTGGAACGACTTCACACTTGGCTCGCCATTTGCACCCTTCGCAGGAAGGCATTCCACAGTGTCCTCGTCGTCTGCATTGCACTCGTCCCCGATTGGGGTCCTCACCCCATTAGCTGAATCCAGTCCGAACTCCTTCAACAGGAGGTCGATCATGACTTATTGGTCCAGAACGTATCCTGTCACGTCGTTCAAATCGATTCGTAAACCAAGAAACTTGCTGACGACGCCTAGGTCCTTGATGGACAGCGAGCTCATCTCCATGAAAAATTTATCCACGGCCCCTTGTTCAGTCCCTGTAACCAATAGGTCGTCCACGTAGACGCCAACCACCGTGCACGTCTCACCCTTGTACTTGTAGTACAGGCACATATCCGTGGTGCATTGCTAAAAACCACCTTGACGTAGCTTTAAATCAATTAATTTACTCCAGAGCCTTCCAGCCTGCTTGAGCCCGTACAGTGACTTCTTCAACAGGAGAACCAGGTCACTTGATGTTCGCACGCCGTGCGACATAAGCTCTTGGTCACTCAAAACCATGCCCTTGGGCAACTTCATGTATATGTCAAGGTGCTCCTCCTTTTCAGCCTTGACGTAGGCATTGGGTACGTCACCATGTCGGGCAGGCACGTTCCAACGCCGGAGAGCACCAAAATCAACTTTACCGTTCCCAAATCCATGACGGCAGCAAACGTGAGGGTATAATCGACACCAAACACTTGCTCGTTCCCACAGACCACCAGGCGAGCCTTGTACCTCTCCACGTCCCCGTTTGCATCATTCTTGGTCTTATAGATTCACTTGTTGTGCAAGACGTGTGCACCTTTTGGTGGTAGTACAACCGTCCACACGCCGTTTGACTTTAGAGCATCCAACTCTTCAGTCATAGCCGTGGTCCATTTCTGGCGATCACCACTTCGGATGGCTTCACCATAATGCTTTGGATCTTGAGTGATGACTGCATTCACGACATCCTGTCGTTCAGCAGGGCATTCACCAACAACTTCCTCAGCACGTCTGCTCGTTGACCTTGTGCCGTGTCGCTCCCTAGTCCATCCGGACTTACGGCCACTTCGGTCTTTCGCCGCCACTTGTAGGTACTTGAACCTTCGGTTGATCATCGTTCGGTATTTCCTCCTGATGTTCAATCCTTTCGGTGTACAAGTCGTCTTGACCGTTACGCCCATCCGACAGTGTTTCGATGTTGCGTACGTGCTGCGTTACCACGACCACCTTGTCCTTGGGGATGTACACTTGTACCCCTTCGTCTCATCACTTTTTCCAATGATGATGGCCGCCTTTCCTCGCTATCCAAGTGATTTGTTCCTTGCATCCACGTGCACGGTGCACGTGGAGCCGAACACCACGATGTCGTTCAGGTTTGGCACCTTCGTGGTCAGAAATTCCATCGGAAACACCCCACCTGGATTCGACTTGGTCCTGCTTCTGTTAAGTATGTATGTTGCATACTCATCAGCGTCGCCCCAGAAATGCAAAGGCAGGTTTGAAGCAAACACCATGCTTTGTACCATGTTCATAATTGTCCGATGCATCCGTTCAGCCTTGCCGTTACTTGCCCAATTTCTGGCTTCACTGACTTAACGCGAGACTCTAGTTGCCTTACAAAACACGTTCAAGGTCTTGTATTCACCACCTCCGTCCGTATATAGTACGTGGATCTTGCAATTGAACTTTCGTTCTAAGCTCACCAGGAAGTGCTTGAACTTGAGGGCAGCAGCATCCTTGGATCTGGCCAAGAACACACGGCAATAATTTGACCTGTGGTCAATGAAATTGACCAGGTAACGGTTACCCAGACGATCCCTTGGAGTCATCGGGCCCTTGAGGTCGGAGCAAATTACTCCACCGATCACATCGATGGGAGAATTTTGGCCTGCGTCTTTCCTTGACTGTGATGCCCTGGTTTGCTTGCCTTGTGCACAGGCCAAGCAATGCATGCGCCTCGTGTCAGTCAGCCTAATACCAGATGCCGGGTCTTTGGCCATCTTGATGATCGTGTCGTAACCCAGGTGACTCAAGCGAAGATGGAACTGCATCAAGGTACCACTCTGAACATCCGAATCGGATTTATATTCAGGTGAATTGATCGCAGCCGTCATCTCCCTTGGTGGTAAATGTGAGGTCTTGTTGCATGGTCCTGTCACTGCAACAACTAGCACATTGTTGTTGCAACCCACATCCATAACCTGTGCACCTCCAAACCCAGAGGTTAACACACGTCTCCCTCCTCGGTACTCAAGTACACATCCCTTAGCCTCGAGCTTACCATACGAAGTGATGTTTCGCTCGAGGTTCGCGGCGTACTGTACATCGAGGAGTTGGATAGTATTCACAAACCCGAGTGCAACAACTTCAATGTTGACACTCCCTTGTCTTGGTGATTATTAAGCAAGGGAGTGTCAACATTGAAGTTGTCCGGAGCACACCTCGATCCGTTGCGGCTGTCAAGCATTCGTTTCGACAGTCGCTCGGGTTGACGATCAGAGACAAGTCGTTGACAAGGTGTCTGCTCGACCCACTGTCGAGTATCCAGTGATTTTCTTGGAGACGATCACCATTGTCGATCGCAAATGTGAAACTTGGTCTGAGACCTTGGACATCTGTCTCTTGGGGCACATCGGCTTGATATGTCCCACCTCGCCGCACCTGTAGCACGTCCGTTGGTCATTGTCATTCGATTTCTTCAGCACCTTGTGCTTGACTTTGTCTCTTGGCTCCTTCCTTGGTTCAACAGCATTGACCACGTCACTTCCGACATGCTTCGCGTGGTTGTCAATCTCCGTTGACTGGGCGAACTGTGCCAATTTCTCGGCTTGACGCAAGCAGTCGGTCCGATGAATGTCCATCCTGGACATCATGGTCATTCACATATGCGGGTCCGCGTAATGGACGATGTTATCCAACACCAGGGTAACCGCCCCTCCGCAGGCATCACTGACTGCCGTCAGGTACAGGAAATGGTCCGTCCAACTTCTGTGAGGTGCCTTGGGCGCCGTAAACTGCGGCGGAGCGGGATTTGCAAAATTGCTGATGCGATCCTAACTCTCCATTGGCGCCCGGACGACCAACTAACGGAGGGGGTACCCCGATTCCGTGTGTATAGCCTTCCTCACCTTGTGTACCCGTCGGTAGGGTGGGTTGCTCTCTTCTCGGTAGACTTGAGTCGATGTTGAACTTGATTGTGTTAGGGATAGGTGGGGGACGATCGAGTGGAATTCCTCACACGATCGCAGTTGTTCTTGGGGTGCTCTATTTGAGTCGCCCTGATCTCTCTTGAGATCGCCTTGTCCAAAAATGTAGATACTTGATCCACTTGATATACTTGATTTTCTGACCACTTGAGCCGTCTCGCGATCTTGTACCTTGTCCTTTTCTTGTTGTGCTGCGTCCAATCGCAGGGGAAGTTGTTTGTTTTGAGAGTTCTTGTAATCCCTGGCCAAACAATCCAGGGATATGACCTGTGTAGTATGTAGACTTCCTTGAGACGTCGGGAGGCCAAAGAATCCAGCCCGGAAGAGAATTCTACACGTGTACTTAGAAGCAAATTGAGCTCTGTGTTAATATTAACCAATCAAATACCAAAACCTATGATCTTGACTATCTGTAGCTCAGGATCTATTGCCACGTATCGCCCTTTCGGAGAAATCAGATCTTGTAATGTGGTCCACTCCAATATCGCCGCGATCTGGATCGCTACCTTGC